TTTTAAACAAGGAACAACCCGAATTCCATGCACAGTAGCCTGGAGGTCAGAGAACAGCTTCCGGGCAGTGGGAAAACACAAGCAAGGAGGAGGGAACACTAATTGCTCTACAGTCCACAGGTCACTGAACAGGCACCACCAGTCCACGACGTTCAAGGAAGAAAACGGAGCCCCTACGGCATTTAAGGAGCAGAGCCTGGACTTGAACCAGGGTTTGTTCCCAAACCTGTGAGAGTTTTCTTCTTCTTCTTCTTTTTTTTTTTTTTTCCAATTTCATTGAGATATAATTGACACACCGGTCAGTAGAATAGTTTAAAGGGTACCACATAATGACACGACATACATACACTGCAAAATGCTTACCACAAAAAGTTAACATCCATCTCCTCGTGGAGTTACAAAAAACATTTCTTTTCCTTGCGATGAGAAATTTTAGGATCTGCTCTCTTAGCAGTGTTCAAATATACCATACAGCAGCATTAACTATATAGTCATCATGAATTGGATGAAGTAGTCAAAAGGTACAAACTTCCCATTTTAAGACAAAGAAGTACTGGGTATGTAACATGCAAAACAGTGCTCTTAATCTCTGTGCTATCTGGCAGCTAGGCAAATAGTTACAGAGAATAGAAAAAAATAAAAATAGATACATAGGCAGAGATGAGATTGTAAAAAGCTGTCAACCCTATGGTAATGCTTCACAGTGCAATGTAAATAAAGACCGTGGACTTTAAAATCTTTTCATGACTCTCAGAAAAGAAGGAACTAACAAAATCAGGTTTTTATTTTGAAAAAATAATTTTAGCTATAACAGCTACTGTAAGAATTGCTTCCTAACATTTCAATTTTTAAATAAATTTTTACCATCATAGTATTTCCAGGTTTAATATCTGTTCATTGAAATTATACATAATTACCAAAAATGCTTTGTTTTTTTAAAGATTTTATTTATTTGACAGAGAGAGACACAGCAAGAGTGGGAACACAAGCAGGGGGAGTGGGAGAGGGAGAAGCAGGCTCCCCGCGGAGTAGGGAGCCTGATGCGGGGCTCGATCCCAGGACCCTGGGACCATGACCTGAGCTGAAGGCAGACGCTTAATGACTGAGCCACTCAGGCACCCCCAAAAATGCTTTTATGAATTCAATGTTTACATCATTCTACATACATTTGAAAAGCAATAGTACAAGTCCATGCAACCTTCATTTAGTCCACAGATAATGCTTGTGTGCACTGAGGACTCATGTTTCCCAGGCAAACCCTTTCAAACCAGACCACAGGTTGGAAACCACTAGCAGAAAGGGTGCAGTTTACAGAGAAAGAGAAAAACCACTTAGAAAGATTTGGGGGTAGGTGGAGAAACAGACTAAGTGGAAGTAACTGAGTAAGGAGTCATATTCCGGTGCCAGGTTTGGCAATGAGCTCAACTTGGCACCCTTAGGTCCTTCCACAGGCTGACAGTGATCCGGAAAGAATCAAACTCAGAGATAACAGGAAGCACAGGTGAGCAAGAGGGTGGGGAATGAAGTTAGCCTGTTCTGCTCCAACCATCCTGTATTTACTACTGTATTTAAACTTCAATCCAGACAGCAACATGAACCCAGATTGGAAACTGGTGACCAGCCAATGCAATGAGTGATAGATCCAGTTTTCCATCTCCTTGGTATTTTGTCTGTTCACTACAAAGGCTTTTTAGTGCCCCAAAACAGAGAGACAGAGGCAACTGTTAGGTGTAGAAAATTAGAAGGTGCTACAGAAAAAGTCTAAAATTAGAGGGTCCGGCCGGCAATTTCTACTTCATCACCCACTCGATGACCTTGCTGGAATCAGGTTTTCTCTCCGCCTCTCCCTTTAAACTATTACATTATTTGGTTTTAAAACAGTGTTTAATCATAAACCAGCTCTGCTACATTATTAATATTCCAAACAGCATTTCCAACCAGATAATAATCCAATATCATTCTGTTGAATTACATTAAAGGGTGACATTCCTACATTTGCTTTAAATTGAAATATTAAACTAACCTGAATTATACATACATTCCTAACCATTTAAGCACAATTTAAAATAGTCATACAATTTTAACTGGTAGAACCACCACCACTAGCCCTTGCCTGGCCCTTTCTCCTTCTCTATCCCAAAATAAAATAAATAAAACTTTAACTTTGGTTGTGGGAATAATACATTAGCTATTTAAAATCATAGAGAATGGAAATGATAAGAACATACTAACATGGACACTGGCCATCATTCAAAATTTTACAAGGTTGGGGCGCCTGAGTGGCTTAGTTATTAAGCGTCTGCCTTCGGCTCAGGGTCCTGGGATCGAGCCCCGCATCAGGCTCCCTGCTCTGCAGGAAGCTTGCTTCTCCCTCTCCCACTCCCCCTGCTTGCGTTCCCTCTCTCGCTGTCTCTCTCTGTCAAATAAAAAAAATAAAATCATAAAAAAATTTTTTTACAAGGTTACTGGAGTTTCTTGACCTCAGGATAGTCAAAGCTGCAGCTAAGAATAAAAACAGCAAAGTAGATTATGTAATATATATACGTTTATATATATGAATGACCCACTTATGCCTCAATATACGTAGAGAAAAGTATGATAGGGAAAATGAAGCAAGAATATTAGCAAGCAGAAGAAAGACTTACACCATAATCTTCCCCACTTTCCAAAATATGTTATAAAATACACTTCGGAATCAATATTTTATCTTTAAATTAGGGGTTCTCAGAGTTAAGAGGCAATTGTGGCAACAAGGGAGTCATCCATTCTGCTTCCTTTGGCAAGAACAGAATTTTAAAATATGTGCTTTAGGGGCGCCTGGGTGGCTCAGTCGTTGGGCATCTGCCTTCGGCTCAGGTCATGATCTCGGGGTCCTGGGATTGAGCCCTGCGTCGGGCTCCCTGCTCAGCGGAGCCTGCTTCTCCCTCTCCCACTCCCCCTGTTTGTGTTCCCTCTCTCGCTGTGTCTCTCTCTGTCAAATAAATAAAATCTTTTAATAAATAAATAAATAAAATATGTGCTTTAGTTGTAAAGGCAAAGCAAAGGAGACAAATAAATCTGGACACTAATTGGAGAAATAAAATAAACCTAACAGTGAGCACACTGCTGTCACTTTGAATGTCCAGAGCATGCGGAAAGTGTACATGAATATATAAATTATTCACATATCTTCAATGAACATACTGCCTTGCTCCCAGTGGCACTAGGCAAAAAATTATTTGAATTTTAATCTCATTAACTATATTATAATGATATGGCAAGGCCTTTAGAAAATTTGTCTCTCTGCTAAAGATGAACAAAACACGTTTAGATGGGATGGATGAGAGTGGGAAGATGAGCACGTGTACCGTGCACTATGATATCTTTTGTTGCAACACACTTCCCTTGCGTTGATTAGATACAAATTTCTCACAGAAAGTCTACACAATCACGAGCAAGCTACAACAAGAATTTTTAGATTTCAAAAATCTGTATACTAAAAAAGAAAAGTGTGAAATCTTCCATATTTATAGATTTCCTGAAGCAAATACACAGCATGCAGATACAAACTCCACATAGGAGCCATGTGTGACCTAAAAATGTCCTCATATTTCTTTCCTTCTCTCTCCTTCTATCCCCCCAACACTCAAAATCCAAAAGACAAGTTTAATCTGTTTTCTAAAATTATGCAGAACAAATACTACAAATGGAAAATTACCTTTGGACGCCTTGGCTTTTCAAAGTTTATGAATGAGGAAAGTCATTTCTCTTAACTGCACTGCTAGAATTTTTCCACTCTCATTTCAATTCAAAATACAGTGTTTATTCTCCTCTCAATGTCCCCATGCCCTCCCCTTACATCTTTCCCCCTCCCTCCATACCTTTCTAAATCACCTTCAGACTAGTTCAAAGTTCAGTCCAAAAAGGACACCAATGGCGAATTTCTTGACCCCCTCTACTGTCTAGTGGGTAATGCTACTCACATTTCACATTCCTTTATTTACTGTTAGAAATGTAACACTGAAAGTTTATTCTTTTTCCCACATATATACATTTGTTTCTTTAAGGACAAATGAATTATGTTTAAACACTGTGTGCTTTGAGATTCTTAAATATGTTGTTTTTGCGCTGGAATAACCTCTAAACCTAATTTGCATTTTTAAGTACGTTGAACAAGCCAGCACGTGGCACCAATAACTTCTAAGTAACTGCAAGGTTGGTGGAGGCAACAATTTTCTAACAAGCCGTTGTTCCTGATTCACATCTACTCTGAAGACTTCCCTAGCATCATTTAAAAAGTCATCTTTTTCATCCAGAATAACGGATAGAAGTCCTGGTATTAATTTTACAGATAAATGTAACCTTAAGGCGTTGAGGAAGAAACCTCCTAGAGACCATCTCCATTTCGATGGAATGGAAGATCGCCTCTCTAAGGCACAGCTGGGAAAGTAACAACACTTCAGTGAGTGACCCCAGGAGATCTTAGTCTCATCAATGCCAACCTTGAATAAGTAAAAATGCTTACCCCCACCCCACCCCCACCCCCGGGCTCCAGACGCTGCGCGGGAGAAAACATCTCTCCAGGTGCGCAAGTGTCTAACCTCCTCCACCTGCCTTCCCACACAGCGCACACAACACACTGCCCGCGCAGGTAAGAGTCGGGCATTCCCACTGTCACCACCCCCAAAGAACCGCTCCCGAGGGCCCTGGGCCGCCTCTGCCCCGGTGCTGACGTGGTCCGGCGCACGAGGACTTGTGGTCCCCAAACCCAAGTGCGCGAGGGCCGGACTCTGCCCTGGCAGAGGAGCTCTGGGGAAGCCAGCGAGCCCGTCGTAGGGAGGGCAGCACTAGGCTTAGAGGGACGTTGAAAAACACGAGAAGCAGGACTTGCCAAGTCCCCCAAACTGCAAACCAACCGGTTGCCACGCGCCGGCGCAGGTCCGGGGAGGGTGCTGAAGCGCAGGGAGGCGGGAGCGGCCTCGAGGCCACGAACTCGTGCGGAAAAAAGTAAAGGCACTCACCTCCACCCATCTCTGGGCCTCGGCGAAAGCTAAGGCGCAGTCGGCCCCGGCCTCCTCCATCCCTTCCAGGACTAGGGTAAGAGGGAGAGAGAAAGCCGCGATGAGTGCGCGGAGGGGCGGGGGGTCCCGCGCGCGTCTGGCCCTGCCTCCCGGCCTCTTCTCAAGCTGCGAGGCGCCCGGGCTCTCTTTCCTTTTGTTGCGCTCTGCAGTTTGGAGAAGTTTCGAACCCGCAAGAACTTGAAGACGTGGCTTCCTCTCAACTCCCGAAAAACGACCCCGGGGACCCGGGCAGCCTGGCAGGGCGCGGGGACCAGAAGCGGTGCGCCGCACCAGCCCGGCAACTGTTTGGACTTCAAAAGTCGCAGCACTGCAGCCGCCGCCCTCCCCGGAATGGCCCCGCCCCAGCCCACCCCGATCGCAGAGTCGCCGCTTCCGTCCGCCCCCCTACGGCTCCCGGGGGCTCCCGGCCGCAGCCGCCTTTGTGGTCAGACTGTCTGGGCCAGGAGATGCCACCGACCGCCAGGAGGCCGTGGCCAAGGCCACGCTCCCGCGCTGCCCGCCTAGACCGCGGCTCCGCCCGGTGGGACTGCGCTCCCGGCGCCCGCATCCTTCCCGTCTCTGCCCGCCTGGCCGCCTTCCCTCTCCCCGGGACCCGGGTAAGAGGCGCCCCGTCGGCTTGCGGCCGCCGGACCCGCCTGACATACCAGGAATAGCTGCACACAATTGCACCTTTCCGGGCCAAGAAACTTCCCCCATGGAGGAGCGCGGCCCGCCGTGGTGCGCAGCCGCCCGGCCCGCCGCCCTCACCTGCGGCCTGAGCCCGGCGCGCGCCGCTCGGCTGAGCCAGCCGTCCCGCTGTCCCGCTGCGCGCGGCCCCGCCGCCAGGTGCGTGGCCTTCCCTACCCCAAGTTCTCCGCCCCTACAGCCGCCCGAGCCCTCCTGGTGGCAGGTGAGGGAAGTGGCCTGAGTGTGTGCCGCCCATTTCCCCCAGTCTAGGCCGGCCCCGCTCCGCCCCGCTTCCAGGTGGGTGAGATGGAAGGTACCTGCCACTCCATCCCCGTCTCTCCGCAAAGGGTGGGAAGCGGAGGGGAACCTGGTATGTCTCTCGGCCTCACCCAGAGCGTCGAACAGTAAGGTGACAGGTTATTCAGTGTCCCCAGCGGTCCTGGGTAGGTGCGCAGGGCTGGAGGGTCGGAGGCTCCTGGTTTGGCTTATGTGAGTTCTTTTCACACAAAAATCAAATCTTCGGAAAGGAACGTGTTCTTTGGTCCAGTCTCCCTGGGACCTCGCGTGATGCTCCTGAAGCCCTATTCAGGCCACATGTTGATGGCGTCACCTTTGGAGGAAGGTAAAGATCGGCTCTTACTCTCGTAAAGGAAACAAATCCTTATTTTCTATTTTTTTCCAGTTGATTGACGTCGTTTTTCATCATACGGAGTAAACAAGCATAGAGCAGGAAACTAATAAATAGATAAAACCTAGCTCCTATATTGAACAATCATTTGCATTCTGCCTTATTTACTTCATCACCTTCATTTCCTGCTTAAAGATAGATATTATTATATTTCACCCCTAAATATTACAATATACATCTCTTCTACATAATCGTATTTCCATTTTCACACCTAACTAAAGCTAACATTAATTACCTAGTAGCAATTTATACCCCATCCAGACTCAAATTCCTCCACTGATCCCAAAATGTCTTTTACAGCTGTCTTACTGAGACCAGAATCCAAACAATGACCACACAATTGCATTTGGTTAGGTCTTTTTTTAGCCTAGAATAGCCTCCTCCTTCAACCAACCCCCACCCCCATGGCTTTTTTATTTTTTTTTAAGGTTTTATTTATTTGACAGAGAGAAAGACAGCCAGAGAGGGAACACAAGCAGGGGGAGTGGGAGAGGGAGAAGCAGGCTTCCTGCTGAGCAGGGAGCTTGTTGTGGGGCTCGATCCCAGGACCCTGGGATCATGACCTGAGCTGAAGGCAGACGCTTAACGACTCAGCCACCCAGGCGCCCCTTAATTTATTTTTTATTACTAAAATATTTTTTTAATTTTAAGTGTTTAATTTCAGGAGTTAGCATACAGTGTTATATTAGTTTCAGGTGTACAATATAATGAATTCAACACTTCCATACATCACTCTGTGCTCATCAGGACAAGTGCCCTCCTTAATCCCCACCACCTATTTCACCCATTCCCCTCGGCCCACCCCTCTCATAACCATCAGTTCTCTATAGCTAAGAGTCTGTTTCTTGATTTGTCTCTCTTATTTTTTTTCTTTTAATTGTTTGTTTTGTTTCTTAAATTCCTGCTTTTTTTTTTTTAGAATAGCATTGTCTTGTAAGACACTGACTCCCATGTACTTCTAGTTCAGGAGAGGGACAGACATTCCCCAAGCTTCATGAGAATTATTGTTACTACAGTTACTATGTACATATACTCTATGTTTAAAGCCGCTGCTATGTAACTTGACTTAAAGCTTTGGGGGTAACAGCCCAGGATGGTAAAGAGCACATAGACTGGAATCTGAATGACTAAGGTTACCAAGTTACCAGACGCACTGACCTTCAATTTCCTCATCTGAAAAATGTGCTGATAATAACTACTTCAAAGGGAAGTGGTGAGAAATAGGATGATATATGTAAAAGCCTAAGGGCATTGCTTGGCAGAGAGTAGGCACTTAATAAACAATGGTTATTTCCCATTAGTCTCTCTCTAACAACAGTGTGTCAAATATGAATTTTTCCTTATAAATGGTAATTTCATTTATTTGCTCAAATACTCACATGGAAAGAGCTATAGGGTATTGTGAACTCTGTTTCAAGTCCGTTCAGGCACCAGCCATTTCTGTCTCTTTAATGATGCAGTTTACATCTCAGAAGTCCCAAATCCAAATCTTTGCCTTCTACTATCAGTCATTAGAGTGTTTTATCCTTCTGGAAAGATTTCTACAGCTCTATAGAGAAAGGTAACCTACTGCAAGAATTTAAAATTAAATTCACAACAATAAAACATCACGAATATTATTCATTTTCCCAAAGAATTTGAGGTACCTTCCAGTATTTAAAAACAGTACAGTTGTCATGTGTTTATACGTTGGTGATGAACTGTTGGTGGGAGAAAGTGATACAATCTTTCTTGAAGGTAATTTGACAAATATTTAAAAAAAATTTTAACTACTCATACTCTGTTGCAGCAATTCCACTTCTGGGCATTTATCCTAAGAATATGAAGAAAGATCTGTGCACAAAATGAGCAGCTGTGGTGGACACAGAGTCACTGGCCAAACCTTTTTTGGAGATAGCTGGAGGCTGTCTGCTGACCAGCCCTTTTGAAGTCTGCCTCAGCTGCAGAGTGCAGCCTCCTCTGAGCTCATGGTCCTCCCAGAGCTGCTCTCATCTGGTGATTGAGTGACTGTACGATACAAAAGTCTAGTCATTTCCACCCAAAACAGAGTACCTTTGATGGGCCCTTTCCATAAATATGAGGCCTGGGTCACAGTTCAACTTCTCCCTTGCTCTTTCCTGCTTCTTCCTTCTTCGTTTCACGGGGGTCAATCCCTAATAAATATCTTGCTCTTCAAACTCCATTTCTTTCAGCTTCTGGAGAACTAAACTTGTGATAACATGAAGCATTTGTTAAAAATGAAAATCCCAGCGTGCCTGGGTGGGTCAGACGGTTAAGTGTCTGCCTTTGGCTCAGGTCATGATCCTGGGGTCCTGGGATGGAGCCCTGCATTGGGCTCCCTGCTCAGCGGGGAGCCTGTTTCTCCCTCTCTCTGTCATGCTCTCTCTCTCAAATAAATACAATCTTTAAAAAAAAATGAAAATCCCAAGCAGTCTAAACTAACAACAGGGACAGTGGAGTAGATTACGTTTCTTCCATAGAGTGGGTTATCACTCAGTCATTAAAAAGGTAAAAGGCAATTCTATAACCCAAGGAGATGTTTAAAAATGTATATTGAAATGGATAAAAAGCAATGTATAAAGCACCCTAATATGTGATTGCATTTTTAAAATGCATTTTGCCACATAGAACGAATTAGAAAAAATCACCCAAATTTTAATGCCAGCTATTTCCAAATGGAGATATTGTGCTTTTCTTTTACAAGTTTTTTTGCAAAAGACATATGCATTACTTTTATAAATGGGAAAATAAGTATGACACAAAGATATGTCCAAATATCTTTTTTGGCTATCTCATCCCACAAACTTCAACCTCCTCCTGCCTTCCCTGACTTGGCAAATGGTACCACGCCTAAAATTTGGTCTTGTCTTTCACCCCCATGTCTACCCCATTCCCACTCTTGTCCATCTATTTCTTTAGTATCTCTCCAATTGGCCCCTCTTCTCAATCCCCATTTCTACTATCTTAGGTCAGGCCATCATTTGTTCTCAGCTAGATGTCAGAAACCCTATGACCTTTCTAAAATCTTATCATGCTACCAGAACATTCCACCTCCCATTACTCCTCAGTGACTCCCAGTTGCCATTTTATATTTCTCAAGATTTATTTATTTGGAGGGGGAAACCAAGAGTTAGATGCTCAACCAACCGTACCACCCAGGCACCTGTCGGTTGCTTTTAAGAGTCATTTGATGGTTTCCAGAACATTAAGTGGCATCTTCCAGGATTTGCTCCTGCCCGACCTCTAACCACATGTTTTGGCCCATATTTCGCCCTTTGTGAGAAATGTGCTTCCCTCTCTCCTTGCCTGGCTTTCTCCTACTTATTCTTCCAGGCTCAATTAAGGTCTCTTGCTTCTCAGTATCCTTCAAAACATCTTTGCAGATCATCATAGGCTAGGTTAGATATCTCTTCTTTATGTAATCATAGCCCCTTTCGTGAAGTATTATTTATTTTTCTTGTTGAACCATGCGCAATTTAGGAGTGTGTGACACATATCTGGTATTCAACAACTGTTTATGGATGGGAGTGTATGTGGGTATAAATATACATATATATTTAATATAACGCTTAATGCAGAGAAGTAATAAAATATTGATACTATCAGAGTAGAAAATACTGTTGATTGCTGCAGCTAATACAAGACTTTCCTTACAGC